TAGCATTCATCCTTCCTCTCCAGCTCTTCTTGAATATTGCCATCTTCGAGGACGAGGTTTTTGCTGGAGTGACCACCCACCAGGAACTCTTCCCTCACAGCCTGCTGAGTGTGATTGCCAACTTTATCCCTTTCTCTGATCACAACCAGAGTCCAAGGAACATGTACCAGTGCCAGATGGGTAAGGTGGCATGGGGGTGGTAGCAATCACACATAAGAGACATGTTTGTTACTTATTTTACTGTGAAATAATTTCATACTCAGAAAAGTTGTGAGACTGGTACAGAGAACACCCATAAATCATTTAACTACATTTTGTTAATATTTTGGTCTGTTTGTACTGTTTTCCATTTGAAAGTAAGTTGCAGGCTTGATGCCCCTTAACCCTAAATATTTCAGTATCTATATCTAAATAAGGATGTTCACTTATATGAACAAAGACAATTAAAGTCAGAAAACTTAACATTGGTATTTCACTTTTTAAAAATATATATATATTTTTATTAATTTCAGAGAGGGAGGGAGGAGAGAGAGAGAGAGAGAGAGAGAGAGAAACATCAATGATAACAGAGAATCATTGATTGACTGCCTCCTGCACACCCTGGGGATCAGGTCTGCAACCTGGGTATGTGCCTTTGACTGGAATTGAACCCAGGATCCTTCACAATGCAGGTCAACACTCTATCCAAATCATCTAGGGCTTATCATTCTACTTTATGGGTCTGATTCAGACTTTGACAAGTTGTACCAAAAATAGGAGGTTTTGTTTGTTTTGTTTTTATATATTTTTATAGATTTCAGAGAGAAAGGGAGAGGGAAAGAGAGATAGAAACATTAATGATGAGAGAGTCATTTATCAGCTGTCTCCTGTGCACTTCCTCCTGGGGATCAAGCCTGCCACCTGGGCGTGTGCCCTGACTGGGAGTCAAATTGTGACCTTCTGGTTTATAAGGCAACTAGAGGCCCAATGCACGAAGATTCATTCAAGAACAGGCCTTCCTTCCTCTGGCTGCCGGCATGCCTTCACTCTGGCCAGAGCTGCCTTCCACCTCTCACCTTGTCGCATCAATTTTTTATTATGATTATTTTTTAAAATAAATCTTTATTATTCATATTATTACAAAAGTTTCTCATTTTTTTCCCCTCCACCAGGTTCCCACTGTTCTCATCCAGAGGTGCACAGTTTTTGTTCAGTCTCTTCCTGCACCTCCCAGTCCCCTTTTCCCCAAGAACCGTCAGTCCACTCCCCTTCCATACCTCTGATTCTATTATATTCACCAGTTAATATTGTTCATCAGGTTTTTTAATTCCCTTGGTTTTTAGATTCACTTGTTGATTGTTACATATTTGTTGTTCATAATTTTTATCTTTATTATCTTCCTCTTCTAAAGAACCCCCTTCAGTAATCATATAATTCTGGTTTGGCGGTGATGAACTCCTTTAGCTTTTGTTTATTTGTGAAGTTCTTTATCTGGCCTTCGATTCTGAGTGATAGCTTTGCTGGGTAGAGTATTTTTGGCTGTAGGTTCTTACTATTCATCACCTTGAATATTTCTTGCCATTCCTGTCTGAGAAATCAGCTGACAATCGTATGGGTGCTCCTTTATAGGTAACTACCTTCTTTGCTCTTGCTGCTTTTAATATTCTCTCTTTGTCTTTTGCTCTTGGAATTTTAATTATGATGTGTCTTGGTGTGGTCCTCTTTGGATTCCTTTTGTTTGGGTTTCTGTGTGCTTCCTGGACTTGTAAGTCTATTTCTTTCACCAGGTAGGGGAAGTTTTCTGTCACTATTTCTTTCAATATGTTTTTGATATCTTGCTCTCTCTCTTCTTCTGGGACCCCCATAATTCTGATGTTGGTTCGCTTGAAGTTGTCCCAGAGGTTTCTTACATTATCTTCAACTTTCTGGATTCTCTTGTCTTCTTGCTTCTGCGGAGGAGTGTCCTCTGGCTCTCTGTGTTCCAAATCTTTGACTTGATTCTTGCTATCTTCCATTCTGTTTTTAGGACTCTGTATAATATTTTTTATTTCCGACAATGTATTCTTTATTTCTAGTTGATCCCTTTTCATATTCTCATAGGTCTTATTTATTTTATCGACCTTCTCTAGGAAATTCTTGAAAAACCTTATAAGCATGGTTTTGAACTCTATATCCAGTCGCTTTTTGTCCTCCATTTCTTTCGTTTGTGATCTGTTTCCTTATCTTGGCATTTTCGCTGCTTCCCTGAGTTGGTAGGGTAGCTTTGTGTGCTAAGGTGTCCTTTACGGTTCAGTGGGTCAGTCTCCCAGTTACCTGAGGTAGACACTCTTGGTGCACCCCTTTGTGGACTGTGTGTACAACCTTTTGTAGTTAAGTCTTAATTGTTGGTATCACTGGGAGGAACTGACCTCCAGGCCAATTGGCTGTGAGGATCAGCTGTGTCTATGCTGGGAGACAGCCTTATTCAAAAGCCTCTGTGCTCAGCTTGGATGGGGTGGAGTTTCAGGGTGGTGCCTACAGCCTTGGCTTCCTGTCAGCCCTGCCCTATGAGGTTCCTGAGTCTCAGTGTTACTCAGTGTCCTTTGGTACTTGCTGCTTTGGTACTCGCTGCAAGCACCTCTGAGAGAAAGGCGTCCTCGAGTTTCGCCCTCAACCAGACAGTCTAGTCTCTCCCCCAATGAGCCCAGAACTGGGGTTCAGTGCAGTCCGGAGCTTTTGTCTCCTTCCTGCTAGGGCAATCCAGCAGCACAGTCAGCAGTCTGTCCTCTGCGCGCAATGTGCGTGACTCTGGGGCTCTGCTTTTCTCCGCTCCCCTGAGTTTCCGCCTTACAACTTAGAATTCCTCTGTATGAGCCTGGGTCCCCAAGGACTCACCCAGAACTGGGGTTCAGTGCAGTCGGAACTGGGGCTCAGAGCTTTTATCTCCTTCCCGCTAGGGAACGCCAGCCAGGCACTCGGCCGCCCCTCCTCTCCGGCTCCGTCCTCTCCCCACGCACGCACCATGTCTCCGTACCTTAGGCTTTTACAGCTCCTCTGATTTTCCTTCTGGTTTTCTCTTCTCGTTGTAGAATTTCCAGTCAGTCAACTTTCCTGTAGTTCTGGATGATGTCCACTTTATATTTTAGATGTATTTTTTGAAATAGTTGTGTGAGGCTGCAGTTAGGCGTTTACCTATGCCGCCATCTTGGTTTCTCTCCCTTATTATCCTTGTCGCATCAATTTAATATTCCCTCCTTACTGGCTTTGGCCGCTGCCATCTTTGTCATGGAGGTATAGTCAGTTTGCATATTCCATCTTTATTAAATAGCATGCTCAACCTCTGAATCACACTGGCTGGCCATAAATAGGGTTTCTGGCAATTTTTTCTGTATAGCACCTAGTTCAAAGTCACACATTGCATTCCATTGTTTTCTTTTAGAACATAACTTTAGTCTTTCTTTGTCTTTCTTGTTATTGACACTGTTGAAGAAAAAGGTAATTTTGTAAAATGTTCAATGACTTGGGTTTGTTTGAGATCTTGAGATTCCATTTTTGACAACTTCAGGCTGGCCACATCATTATCTCTCCAGTGCTGTTCATTTCTGCCTGATATCACCATACTGTTTTGTAGTGCTTATTCAGACTTGATTAATTATATCAAAAACATGATTTCATTTTCCTGGAGTATAATTTCCCTTAGATCTGAAAACTTTCTTTAGCATTTGTCACTATTGCCAGTTGCTAGCTACAAATTTTCTCAGTTTTTATTTCTTTGAAATATCTTTATATCCTCTTCCCTTGAAGGAACTAGGTATACAATTCTGATTTGACAGGATTTTTTTCTGGCACATGAAATATTGTTTGAGCTGTGTACTCTTTTTTTTTTTTTTTTTTTTTTTAATTAATATATTTTACTGATTTTTTACAGAGAGGAAGGGAGAGAGATAGAGAGTTAGAAGCATCAATGAGAGAGAGTCATCGATCAGTTGCCTCTGCACTGGGGATATGCCCGCAACCAAGGTACATGCCCCTGACCGGAATCAAACCTGGGATCCTTCAGTCCGCAGGCCAATGCTCTATCCACTGAGCCAAACCGGTTTCGGCTGTGTACTCTTTTTTAATCCTCACAGAAGGATGGATGTTTTTATGTAGAGAGAAACATCGATAGGCAGCCTCCTGTATTCACCTTGACCAGAGATTAAACTCGCAACCTAGGTATGTGCTCTGTTAGGAAATCAAACTTGCAATCTTTGGTGTAGAGACTCCAATCAACTGAGCTATCAAGACAGGACTAGCTGTCTAATCTTGTTCTCTCATTTCTAATTAGAAGTTGTCAGTTACAGGCTGTTTCCCTGTTTTTAAGTTTTGTTTTTCTTCTGTCCTTAAGATTTTCTCCTTATTTTTTGGTTTCTAGCAGAATGACTATGGTATGCCTACATATAATAATGTTCCTTGTGTTTGTCTTGTTTTGTATTTGCTGGTCTTCTTAAATCTGTTTGTTTTAATGTTTTAAATTTGTCTCCTGAGATTTAGGTTATGCACCTTGTATGTTAATTATTGCTGTCCCATCAACCATTTGTTCTTTTCTCTTTTTTCTCTTCACATTGAATCATTTTTATTGTTCTATCATCATATTCAGACTTCGTATTCTATTTCAGAGTTCATAGTGCTAACCATTACACCATGGAACCACTGCATTATTTCAGATATTTCATTTTCAAACCTAAAATTTCCATTTGTTTCTTTTTGTAATTTTAATTTTCTCTGGAATTCCATCTTCATCGTGAACATATTTTCTTTTACATCTTTGAGCAGTTATACAACCCGTGTTTTAAAATAATTGTCTGTTAATTCCAGCGTCTGGGTCATCTTGGGATGTTTCCATTCACTGCATTTTTTTCTTGAGTATGGGTAATGATTCCCTATGTCTTTTATATCTAGTAATATTAGATCATATCATGGACATTGAGAACGAATGATTTGTTTTGAAGACCATGGATTCTGTTACGTTCCTTTGAAGAGGATTGGTTTTTAGACTTAACTGGTAGATAACTTAGATGAACACAGCAGCTAAAGTCACCTTTGAAGGCTGCCTGGAAATGTTCCTTCCGTGCTTGTGTAACTCAGGACTCCACCAGAGATCTGGGATTGGCTCATACGCAGAATTTAAGGCTTTCCCTGTGTGGTTCTCTCCTTTCTGAAATCTCTCCCACCCCCAGTTTTTAGTTGCTATAGTGCTGTGAACTCTTAAGTTTCTTGGTTCTTAAAGCCAGTCAGACTGGGTTTTTATCTAAGTTTTAGTCACTACACTGGGCCATTAGGCAAAAAAACAAACCAACCACAGAGCAAAACCTGACCTGGAAATTCACCCATTGCAGTTTCTTTTGCCTGAATGTAAATTCCTCTAGTTTCTGACTGATTTTGGTTACTTTACAATACTTTCACATGGTGTGTATATTTGTTTGTGGTTACTTTTCTTTTTTCTTTTTGGGTTTTATGGTTCCTTTATAGAAGGAACCCTCTACAAGTAGAAGCTGGAAGTCTCCTTTTCTATATTTTAAAGAATTCCACTATGCTTGTATATTTAATTTATTTTTTACAATCATTTTGTTTGAGCCTTGGCTGGTGTGGCTTAGTTGGTTGAGTGTTGTCCCATTAAACCAAAAATTGCCAGTTCATTTCCCAGCCAGGTCATATGCCCAGGCTGTGGGCTCAATCCACAGTAGCTGGTGTGCAAGAGGCAGTCGATAGATGTCTTGCTCTTATGTCGATGTTTCTCTCACTCCCTCCCAGTGCTTTCCTCTCTCTCTAAAGATCAACTTAAGGCCCCTTAGTTCTCAGAGGCGCTCCCAACCTATCTGTTCTCTCCACTTGTTTTTTTTAAATGGTTGATAATATTACAAATGTCTCCACTCCCCAGACTCTTTGCTCCCCTTCACCCTGCCCCCGCCCTACACCAGGCCTTCACCACACTGTGGTCTGTGTCCATGGGTTATGCATCTATGCATATAAATTCTTTGGTTAATCCCTTCCCGATCCCCCACCCCTGATCTGTCTCTTTCCACTCTTGCCTGGTGTCTGTTTCACGGTTCCAGCTTCCCGCCGCAAAAATAAATAAATGAATAAATAAAATAAAGGTCAATTAAAAAATCTTTTTTTTAAAAAGTCGTTTGTGTTGAATTGATTCTCTATACTGTGAAGTGGTATAAAAAAGACTCTTACCTACCCGCCGTATGCCAATACCCAGAATTAAATAGTGACATTTTGTTTTGTGTGTAAGAAAGTAATTAGAGCCCCAGCCAGTTTGGCTCAGTGGATAGAGCATTGGCCTGTGGACTGAAGGGTCTGGGTTGCATTCCAGTCAAGGGCATATGCCTGGGTTGTGGGCTCAATCCTCATTGTGGGGCGTGCAGGAGACAGCCATTCAATTATGTTTCATAATTGACATTTCTCTCTCCCTCTCCTTACCTCTCAGATAAAAAAAAAAAATACATTATTTAAAAATGTTATTAGATAATACTCTCCCCTTACATCCTTACTCTTCCCCAGTAACATCCCCCTTTTATTATATATGTGTCCATAAACTAGGTATAGAATTATTTGGAGTGCGTTATATAGATATATGTAAATGGTATCATATTAAATGAGTTTCTTTCCATTTTCCTCTCAGCACTGTTTTGATGGTCTGGTTGTGATACATGCAGGTCTGTTCATCTTCACACTATAAGCATAACAACCATGACTGATTTGTTCATTCCTCAATGGTGAATATTAGTTTTCCCCAGTTTTATCATCTTTATAATCAAGAGAAAAACAAAAGGCTAAGGTGTTTTTCCCTATGTAGGTAAACAAACTATGGGCTTCCCACTTCTCACTTATCAAGACCGATCCGACAATAAGCTGTATCGTCTTCAGACCCCACAAAGCCCTGTAGTGAGGCCGTGCATGTATGATCACTATGACATGGACAACTATCCAATTGGGACCAATGCCATCGTCGCTGTTATTTCTTACACTGGCTACGATATGGAAGATGCCATGGTAAGTTTTACCTAAAGTAGTTCATTCTAATATTTAATTTTAATATTTAACTTTACTGTGAGGTCACTATCCTCCAGTGCCTCGTATTTGGTGAGTGAGTGTTGTGTTAAATGGTCAGACCCTATTCTGAGTGAAAAGTGTTCATAACTTGAGGGTTATGAACTATTCAGATATGCATATTGCCTATGTAGTTGAATAAATGTTGAGTGAAGGTAAAGTAGTGTTGGATATTTCTACCTTTTGTGTTTGTGCATAATTGGGTTTTGGACTACTTAATTGTAAATTATTTGTAAATTAAGTGTCTGGGTTTTAGTAGTAGTTAGTGTAGGTGACTGAGAAAATGTGGATAGTTTTTCAATCAAATGGCAGGTAACCTAAACCAAGTATAATTATGACCAATTTTATTTTGAAAAATCCTCATTTTTCTTCACTCCCTTGATTCTTTGACTTCAGATTCTGAATAAAGCTTCTTGGGAACGAGGTTTTGCCCATGGAAGTGTCTACAAGTCTGAGTTCATAGATCTCTCTGAAAAAATTAAACAAGGAGATGATAGTCTGGTGTTTGGAGTCAAACCTGGTGACCCCCGCACTGCGCAGAAGTTAGATGAGGATGGATTGCCGTTTATTGGAGCACAGCTGCAGTATGGAGATCCCTATTATAGCTATGTAAACCTCAACACTGGCGAGAGCTCTGTGATGTTCTACAAGTAAGTTGCAGTGCCAGGTGCTAATTTTAAAGACCATTATTAGTGAATTGCTGGGGGCTGTTGAAAGTAATTTTTTAACAGGAGAATTTTTGGAGAAAATAGAAGTGGTAGTTATTGACTCAGTCGTAATTGAATTGGCACTTACAAAATGAGACAAAGTTTGCTGTTGTACTGCCTTTGCTTTTTTTCTACTTGACAGAGTTCTCCTGGCTTATTTTAAAAGTATATTATTCAGACTTGATCATCTCATGCATGTTAGGAATATTTCCCAGTTAAAATGTTATTATGCATCCTGTTAAAATAAATTTTTAACTTATTTTACATCTGTAAGAGTGGATTCAACAGTAGGTCTTCATAATTTATAATAATAAAAGCATAATATGCAAATTGACCAAACAGCCAAACAGCAGTCTGGACAACCTGAATGTAGCCACAGCTATGTGGGCCGAGAAAGCTGCTGGGGCTGTGAGGGCCTACTCTTGCACACATTTTGTGCATCAGGCCTCTAGTCTCTCTCTCTCTCTCTCTCTCTCTCTCTCTCTCTATATATATATATATATATATATAAGCCTAAGCAACTGAAAGACCAATTGCCATGGTATACACTGACGCTCAATGCGGGAACTGCCCCCGGTGGTTAGTGTGCTCCTACTCAGCTAACCAACCCATCCCAGCGACCCACCAGCCCGGCAGCAGCTACTCATTCCCTCAGAAGCCCTGCTGGTCCCAACTCTGGAGAATGGGCCAGGCACCAATGGACTGGTGCCACTGGCCTCCTGGAAGTCAGCTTTGGGCACTGTGGCTGCTTCCTCCCCCTCGATGCTCCACAAAGAAGAAATGATATAAAAGCAGCTGCCAGGTGACTCCCAACAACTGGTGTGAACATCAGAGGAACGGATCTGAATCCTGGGCTGGCAAGGGCATCCCACCATCACCCAGAGGCTCATTCGTGTCTCAGCCCCCCACCCGTCTTGGGATGGGCACCAGTTGCAGGGCTTAACCGCTGACAAGTGCTGCTACTGTGGTGCCAGCCTCTCCCAGTTGGGACTGACCGGGTGCGAGCCTGCGGCAGGCACAACAGGGTTGGGATGAGCGGGAGCAGCAGGCAGGAGCGACCAGCAGCATTGGACTGCCTGTTTCAGTCCGATCCCTGCAGGCCACCCCGAGGGACCCCACCTGTGCATGAATTCATGTACCAGTCCTCTAGTAGTTTCATAATAGTTGTTCGGAGGAACAGAGTTCTGTTAATATAACTAGCAGCCCTAGTCATACTTTCAGGGAAAAGAAAGGTAAGACTTTTTTGAATTCTTGATAAAGCAGTAACTATATATATAAAACTTACATACCTCTATAGGCTTAAAAGAAATAGTTTGACTTTTGTGTGATTTAATTTTTCCTAGGAGTAAAGAAAATTGTATTGTGGACAACATCAAAGTGTGTAGTAATGACACTGGAAGTGGAAAATTTAAGTGTGTTTGCATCACGATGAGAATCCCTCGGAACCCAACCATTGGAGACAAGTTTGCCAGCCGGCATGGGCAGAAGGGCATCCTGAGCAGGCTGTGGCCAACCGAGGACATGCCCTTCACCGAAAGTGGGATGGTCCCAGACATCCTGTTCAATCCTCACGGGTTCCCGTCCCGAATGACTATTGGCATGTTAATTGAGAGCATGGCAGGCAAATCTGCAGCTCTGCATGGCCTCTGCCATGATGCCACACCCTTCACTTTTTCAGAGGAGAACTCGGCCTTGGAATACTTTGGTGAGATGTTGAAGGCTGCTGGCTACAACTTCTATGGCACTGAGAGGCTGTACAGTGGCATCAGTGGGATAGAACTGGAAGCAGATATTTTCATAGGCGTGGTTTATTACCAGCGGTTACGCCACATGGTCTCAGACAAATTCCAGGTCAGAACCACGGGAGCCAGAGACAGAGTCACTAACCAGCCCGTTGGGGGGAGAAATATCCAGGGTGGGATCCGTTTTGGGGAAATGGAGAGGGATGCTCTTTTAGCTCATGGAACTTCTTTTCTCCTCCATGACCGCCTCTTTAACTGTTCGGACCGGTCGGTAGCCCATGTGTGCGTCAGGTGTGGCAGTTTGCTCTCTCCGCTGCTGGAGAAGCCACCCCCTTCGTGGTCAGCCATGCGCAATAGAAAGTACAACTGTACCGTGTGTAACCGCAGTGACACCATCGACACTGTTTCTGTGCCTTATGTTTTCCGGTATTTTGTAGCTGAGCTGGCAGCGATGAACATCAAAGTAAAACTGGATGTCATTTAATGGATGTGGCCTTTTGGGTTAGGCGATCAGATTAAAGCAAAATGTAACTTCAGGAAAGATATTACCCTGA